GCCCGCGCTGCCCGAGCCCCTCCACGGCTTTGCTCCACGTCTTCCTGGTCTGCAGACCAGGGAGACGGGGAGCAGCTTTTCTCGCCCGGAGTACACGGGCAGCGGGACCGCGAGGTCCCGCAGTCCGTGTACTCCGGGGCAGCCCCGTTCGTAACAGCGGATCCGACATAAGTCGGGGACTGCCTGGATATCATCTTAAAAATAAATCTTTAGTTATTCCTAATTTAGCAAAAGCACAGGCTGCATCACGGTTCGGGTACCTTTTTTAAAATGAAATGATTAAAGGTCTAGAAAACATGAGCTCTGAGGAAAGACTGAAAGAGATGTGTTAGTTCCTGGTGGGTCCCTACCTCTATCTTTGCCTGTGCCACCACAGGTATCAAGTGATCACAGCTCTCACTGGCTGCAAGATCACTGTTTGTGGGCAATGGAAATGGTGTCCCAGTCTGTACTGCTTCCCGCCGCTCCCGTTGGTTGTGAACAGCAATCCATGACAGTCTGTTAAAGAGAAGACTATGAGAGGGCATGATAACAGCTTTCAAGTACCTAAAAGTTTTTTACAAGGAGGATGGAGAATAATTATATTCTGTAAGAAGAAGCAGTGGGCTTAAAATTGCAGTTTGAGAGGGTTGGGTTGGACATTGAAAGTTTTTCCCAAACTATCAGAGAGGTCAACCACAAATATATTGCCTAAGGCGGTTGTAGAATCTCCATCATTGGAGATTTTTAAGAGCAGATTAGACAAGAACCTGTCAGAGATGGTCAGGGAACTGGACTTGACCTCTCAAATGTCCCTTCCACCTCTAGTATTCTCTGATTCTATGAATTGCTCTCTCAGTAATACTCCTCTCTTCCTTCCTAAAATTATACTGTCAGACCACAAGCGACACACATATTCCTAAGACCAGATAAGACCTATTTCACCGTCCCTTATCTATATCTGGGTGGAGGAGAGAGAAAGGAACTATATCCTTATTTATGGAGAAGGAAGCATTCCTTCATTTTCTCTTCCCCTTCCCCTGCCCCCTTGCCTTCTCTATACTAAATATCTCTCTCCCAATTCAGCATTGAAATACAGCATCTAAACCTTCACCAAACAGTACACACACTCACACAGAGACCCTTGATAAACATAGTAACAAGTAACTCTAGTTTACAGGTCAGTGACTGAAAGACAGACAGACAGTAACATGAAGGGGGGAGAAGAGTTCCTTGCTAAAGCTGCCTTCACTGAGTTTGGAGCCTCTTCCCAGGAGACAGGCTTAAGGGACATGGGAGTCTCAACGATAGCAGGAAGCTCATCCTATTCTTCATCAGTGTTCAGTTTCCAGTGTATTTGAGTAGAAAACAAGTTTTGTTTTGTTTGTTTGTTTTTAAGAGTCTTTAAACTTGAATTCTATAATATATGAAGGATAATACTTTAAAATCCTGTTAGAGAAATAAGAAAACATGTATAAATGTAGCTGTCCTTTATATTTTAAAACTGACTGTGCCTTGATTTCAAAGTTGTCTTGGCGAATCCCGTCATGGAAGGTGGGGGGAACAAATGTGATAATAGAGTGATATATCACTAACAGCTTCATGTTCATTATAGTTCATTATCATGCTTTAATTCCATTAGTTGAAATACTATACAATAGTAGTTTTCTTCTTTTAGTAAACTCAGCTACCACTACCTTACTTAAAGCTTAGCTGTGAAATGATTGTCTTCCTCCACCCAACTGCTGCAACTGTATGATGGCAGTGGGAGAAGTATTATATTCATTAAAAATTGACTGGAGCAGTGTACACAAGTTGAGCATGCCAATGATTCTTTATGCATGTTGTTTTTTTAGTGTGCTTATTTCCTTAATTGTTACTGTCCAACTATCATGAATTGCTTCCCAAATATTAGTGGAATTTTGGATTATATTGTAACATTAAATGATAAATTTGTGGGGAGGTTTATTTTCACAATTAATACATTCCTACAAGATTGTACTACAAAGTTTTAAAAGAAAACTGTTTGAAATGATGTGTGGACATCAGAAAGAAAACTGAGTTTATTCTATTGCATTTTCTTAGTAAAATACTTAATGGATAATACTGTGTACTATATTTTCATGCTGCATGTTCTGAAATACCAAAGGTACAGTGAGTGGGTGTAATGTAACTTCTTTTGTTTGCCTTTTTTGTTTGCCTTTTTTCAAGTTCTGGGACAAATACTGAATTAAGTTGCCTGCAAAATCCTGTGTCTGCAAAGCGTATTCGACAAGATACCTTGTTAAGTCAGAAAACTTTACGAGTGCCCAAACCAGTAGGTAAGTGTCAAAATTATAACTTGCGTTATTAAACTGGAATTTGTGGTAGTGGCTGGTTGTGTAATAGGCCCAAGATTAAATTTTTACATTTACAATTTTTCATTTTCATGGTTTGCTGCTGTGATCAGTCAACTAAGCTACTTGCTGAATGTGGTGCATCCATTCATTTAAAAACACAAACCAAAAATACAACTTGGAATAGATCTAGTCAGTTACTGGGTCTTGATTAGACATGGTCCCAATATTCCAAGTTCATAACAAATGTAAATGATAAGACTCTCTAATTTTAATAGGTAATTTAATGATTGTAATCACCCTAAAAGCATACTTTTCACTGGTAGCAGGTTTGATCTGGCATCAAATTTAAGTGCCTCCTATGTAATTTCCATATCTGCTTTTATTGAGAAATAAAATAATCTCTTAAGTACTTTGCCAAACCTGTTTTGAATGCTTACTTCATCTTTTAACATCTTTTGGATTACTTTTTCCAAATAGAGATTTATTAGATACATTTTTATACCATTTGGGAGAACACAGCAGTGAAGTTGAGAAAATGAAATTTGCAAGCAATCTTGAGAGATTCTTTATCTGCTAGCAAATTGTTTACAATACTATAAGTGGTGTTCCCAGAAAAGTCTGCAAAAGGTGATCGCAATAGTGGCTCACAAGAAACTCCTATCTTAGCTATAGAAAACGTTGTGTTACAACAAATTCTATTACAGATGTAAAACGTATGAAGAGCATTTGTCCCACAATTTTTCAAAATAAGTTCTAATTTAACACTTAGTCTCTGTGCGCTCAGAGTGCCCTTTGCGTACACTAATATATTTTGAATTATTATTAGTCTCTTGGCATTGCTGGCTGTTACATACGGGTTAATCCGAAGTATTCTGCAAGTCTGTCTCAAATTTAATGATCTTTTACTTGTGCTTTTAAGCATTATCTTCCCTAATCTCATTCTCCCCAGCCAATGTTTCACACACATTTCTCTTAATCCATCCTTTTGGCATCTCAGATCACTCTTGATTTTGCACCGTCTTTTAGGGTCCTATTTACTCTCGGTCATAATCTCCAAAAGAATGTTTACTGAGGCTATATCTATACTGGTAACTGAACAACACAACTTTTGTTAGAGGTGTTAAAATGACACTCTTATGGAAGACAAAAGTTTTGCCGATTACAGGAGAGCTCACTTGCTGACAAAGCTAACACCCCTCATTAGGGCTAAAAAATTTTGCTGGGAAAAGAGACTATAAACAGTAACTAGACTGCCCAACTTTTGGGCTTGTCTACACTACAAAGTTTTGTCGAAGAAACTAACGATGACATGAAAAAAATCTACAAAAGCAAAGTTGCTAAAGCATGTTCACTTGTGCTCCCTTTCTGAATGAATTGTGTCCACATTGGTGCACCATGATTGACAGCATGAGTAATGCACTGGGTATGTATCTCGCAGTGTCTGGTGACGTGATCTGTCGCTAGATATGGGAACACAGAACAGAGCATGGCACATATTGGGACTGCGTAAAACATCCCATCAAACATGGCTTTATATCCCAGTGACTTCTGGCTTCCTTCTGTGCCATTATTCCAACCTCCAGTCTTTGCTATGCACTCAGCATTTGCAGTAAGAAAAGATGGATCCCGCACTTCTCTCCTATGTTCTGTTAAATGTCATGAGGACGTCACACATGCCAGCACAGTTTGTGAAATACAGGCAGAGGAAGATTTGCAGGTTCCTGACATGCTACATGATGTGGACAGCAGCAAATTAGCATTGCTTTTGACATTGACAGAGCAGGTACATAGTGTAGATCATCCCTTTTGGAGGAGGGAAAGCAGCACTGATGTATGGGAGTGCATCATCATGCAGTTGTGGGAGGAAGAGAAGTCAGTACAGAACTTTAGAATGCATAAAGGTACCTTCCTGAAGTTGTGTGCTTGAACTGGCCCCTGACCTGCAGCACAAGGATATCAGAATGAGAAATGCCCTATCAATGGAGAAGCTTTTGGCAGTTGCTGTTTAGAAGTTGCACAGAGTAGAGCAGCAGTTTCCAACCCTTGGACCATGGCCTAGGGTGCCAGGGCTAGAGTACACCATTCTCAACACAGCTGTTGGAAGAGTCATGTCCCGCTCCACCTCTCAGCCAGCCAGCACCGGGCTGGGGTGGGGTCTCTTCCCAGACATGGAAAAGCGCTTTGCTGCACAGTGGAAGGGCTGTGCAGATCCTGGGCGGGGGAGCCTTGGAGCAGCCTCGACCCAGGCATAAGCGCTCAGCTGGCAGCTAGGAGGCAGTGCAGGGCTAGTTGAGGGGGCGGGGCTAGTGCTGGCTCTGGAAACAGGAGGCTGGCACTGGGGGGATCTGGTGGGGGAGCTCTAAGGGGCAGGGGACTGGCACTGAGGCATTTGGAAGGGGGCTGGCACTGGGGAGGTTGAGTGCAGGGGACTCTAGGGTCAGTGGCTGACGCTGGGGGGTAGTGGAGGGATGCGGGACTCTAGAGGCTAGAACTGGGAAGTGGGGCTTTTGGCGGACCAGTAACATTAGGCTGGCACTGGGGGGATCTGGTGGGGGAGCTCTAAGGGGCAGGGGACTGGCACTGAGGCATTTGGAAGGGGGCTGGCACTGGGGAGGTTGAGTGCAGGGGACTCTAGGGTCAGTGGCTGACGCTGGGGGGTAGTGGAGGGATGCGGGACTCTAGAGGCTAGAACTGGGAAGTGGGGCTTTTGGCGGACCAGTAACATTTTATTTGCATCCTTGCATATTTGTTATTTGCATAATGAATATGTAACTATGCAAATAAAATGTTACCAGTCTGCCAAAAGTTTGTGAATGAGGTTGTTGGTATAAAAAAGATTAGGAACCCTCTGGTGTAGATAAAGCCTTTAAGTAATCTCACTATAATCTTCCCAAAAATTTGTGAAGCCCACTTAGCGAGACCATAACTAACACTAATCAAAACATTTTAACTAAATTGTTCTTTATTAAAATGTATCAGAGGGGTTACTGTGTTAGTCTGAATCTGCAAAAACAACGAGAAGTCCTGTGGCACCTTATAGACTTAACAGATTTATTGGAGCATAAGCTTTCATGAACAAAGGCCCACTTCATCAGATACGTGTCCGAGTGGGTCTTTGCCCACAAAAGCTTATGCTCCAATAAATCTGTTAAGTCTACAAGGTGCCACAGGACTTCTCATTGTTTTTATTAAAATGTGTTGTTTTATCAAAATCAAAATGTATTTATTTCAATTAAGTTTTCTACATAAGGTTACTGAGGTCTAGGGTGGAGACTGGTTAATTCCAGCGTCCTTTTTTCATCCAAACAGACATTTTGACATAATTGTCTTTCAAAAAAATCTTTAAAGGGTTGGGTTTTCCTTCCACAAATTTCAAAAGTTGTCAAGGAATAGAATTTTTGCTCTCTGGACAGCTCTTAACCGTAATCCTACAGGATGTAGTCTATAACAGCGGTTCCCAACCACCAGGCCGAGGACCGCTGCTGGTCCACAACCCAATGGCTGTGAGGCCGCAGCGACTGCTGAAGCTCAAGCCGGCTGTTCATGGTGGCTGAGGTACAGCCAAAGGAGATGGAGCAGGAGGCACCTTCCTCTGCACTTGGGAACGGAGGGGGCACGAAGGAGGAGGGAGTGCGCACACCACCAACAGCCACTCTCCCTGTTTGCATGGCTACTTTTGCCAGCAATGGTGCTAGGGCTGAGGCGGTGGCAGGAGGAGGAGCCTTCCCACCTTCTCGGTAGTGGCAGCCAGCTGGGGCTCCGGCTTCCCCCCTCTACCCATGGGGGTGCAAGACATGCTTGAGGAGGAAGTGCACATGCTGCCAAAAGTCGCACACGACACCAATGGTTGCTCCCTCTGCCCGCATGGAAGTAATGGCCATGCTCCCTAGAGAGGGTAGCCTCTTTCTCTGGGGAGTGCGGAGGTGGGGTCACAGAGCAGGAGGGTGTTGGCATGGACTGTACAGGTCAGAGGTTAATGGGTCAAAGGATGCTAAGGAGGCACTGGGGAGCAAGGGGCTGGGTAGAGCTTAGGGGGACAGGAAACATGAATATGCAAATAAGATGTTACCAGTCCAACAAAAGTTTGTGAATGGGTTTGCCAGTCCACGGCATAAAAAAGGTTGCCGCTGCTCTAGTGACTCAAGCTGCTAGGCCTGATTCTGCCCTCTGGGACAGTGGCAGGTGGCTGCTGCAGGTGGAAAAAACCTCATACCAGCACTACTATCGTCTTTCATTTGGAAAAGGAATTAGAATTTTAGATTTGTTGTCCCTTTCTTTAGCAGAATTTAAAAAGAAACCTGAGTCTTCTCTATCTTTGTTATTTGAGGGAAGAGATTATATAGAAAACTTTGAGCAACATTGTTTACTAGATCAAAACTGAAATCTGCACCACAGAAGAGGATGCAAAAATTATTTTAAGCTACCTATACTTTCTCTCCTCCACCATTCTTAGTCCTTCCCAGGGGCTGACAATCTTCTTGTGCAGTTTAGAGTAGATTGAAGGCTGCTCTCCTTTTTACTATGCTGACTTGAGGTTTAAGGCTTGGTCTCTCACACCCTATCCCACAGACAAAACTAGCAATATATAGGGTTTATTTTTTAAGTTTATCATAGACAGACATGCTTCTGTACTTCCAGTATTGTGCACAGTGCTATCTCAGTGTCACCTGTTTCTACCAAGTATTGGGGAAAAGAGAATACCCATACCAATTTCTGTAACTGTATTGTGAAGGAATCCTGTATTTGACCATCTAGTTAATACAGGCAGTCGCCGAGTTACGTACAAGATAGGGACTGTAGGTTTGTTCTT